TTTCTTCAAGAAATACTCGATTCATCAAATAACATATTTGGTTCCTTTAATTCACACCGTGCTGCTATCTCCTTAATACACTCAAGGGACCTCGGAAATGATCCTCATTTAAAGAGATTTTTTGAAGGGAGTCTTTCGTCTTAGGCCACCAAAGCCTAAATACGGAACTACATGGGATCCTCAACGTGTACTGTCTTTTTTAGAAAAATCACCCAATACGAGAATAACCTTATCGCAAAAGGTAGCCACCCTTTTAATGTTGGCAACGGGCCAGAGAGTCCAAACGATTTCACTTATTAAATGCTCGAATATTAAATTCAACGAACAAGGTGCAACCATATTTATCCCAGACCTTATTAAAACATCAGGTCCCAAAACATTGCAGCCAAAATTAGACCTTCCTTATTTGCACGACAACCCAACTCTATGTGTATCCTCAAAGATCAAAGAATATTTAGACGCCACCAAGAGTATCAGAAAACCTGCTTGCGATTTTCTCTTTTTAACCAACAAAGCACCATTCGGCCCTGCAAGCAAACAAACTATCAGTCGATGGGTTAAAACCACTCTGAAAGCAGCTGGAATTGATACATCTGTATTCACGGCGCACTCGGCCAGACATGCTTCGACTTCAGCTGCGTATAGGAAAGGCTTATCTATCGAAACTATAAGAAGATGTGCTGGTTGGAGCGAATCATCTTCAACGTTTGCTCGTTTTTATAACAGACCTTTAATACATACCAATAACCTCTTGGAAGCGGTTCTGTCAACAGACTAGTGTAATGTTCCATTAGGTGTTTAAGTATTTTGTCAGTAGAAAATCTACCGTTCCATTTTTATTTTAAATATTTTGTCAAGAGACAATCTAATGTTACTTTGTTTAATTTTGTAAGCCAACTTGTTTAATAAAAGTTCTTTCTTGATGAAGACTTCATAAGTAATATCACACATCTATAAGAATCCGTAGGTGACGTTCGAAAACAGTCAATGTTTAGGAAATCTTTAAACAACTACATAGTTAACTCAATGTGATATCGAGGGCTGGATGCCGAAATATAATTAAACGATCAAAAGAACTTACCTGAAGTTCGATCGTAATTATATGAGGCATCCAGTCCGAAGATATCACAACCCGCCACTCCCAACCCACATGGTTCCTAAACATTGACTCCCGGAACAGGAACTTGCTACTTTAAACAAAATGAATAGCCAAGCGGCGACAAAGACAGTAGAGACATGGATGGGGATGTCAGGAGCGTACCAGAAGTTTTATTTTATTTGCTTTTCTTTTTTAAATCTTTAAAAATATCGTGGGCGTAGTAGCAGAAAAGGCCTACTACATAGTTAACTCAATGTGATATCTTCGGACTGGATGCCTCATATAATTACGATCGAACTTCAGGTAAGTTCTTTTGATCGTTTAATTAATAAAGCTTACTGTTCACACGTACGATATCCGACAATACGATGATCCGAAAATGTTTCTATTGGCTGAATATTTAAAAAAATATTTGGCGGGATTCTCTCCACGAAACTTTTAACTATTTGTCCGACGTCGGAGAAGTTGAATATATTTTAACTTTTATCCGACGATCGTGTACTTTATAACAAATGGAGAATTATTGGTGTCAACAACGGTATAACAAAGTAAACACAGTGCTACTATTAAGTCTTTTATGGCTAAAATTAAAAAGAAAAAAAAGACCAAAGCGATTTTGGCAACATAACATATTTTTTAAAAGAAAATCGCAAGGTGCATACCACAATTTATTACTGGAAATGAGATTGACTGACAAGGAAAAATATTTTAATTATTTAAGAATGTCAGCTGAAACTTTTAATTTATTATTGGATATAATAGGTCCAAAATTACGGAGGGTGCATTGGACAAGAGAGCCAATTTCACCTAGTGAGAGACTTGCTTTAACTTTAAGGTAGGTTCTTACCACGGCATAAATAGTAAATATTTTGGTAAAATGTAATTTGTCATATATGTATTTAGCAAGTGGCGACAGCATGGTTTCAATGTCCTACGCATTTAGAATTGGTCCCAGTACAGTCTCGCATATTATTCGTGAAACATGTAATTGTATATGGGATTCCTTAAACCAAATAGTTTTAAAGCAACCGTCAGAGGAAATGTGGCTGGTAGTCGCTAAAGAATTTGAAGAAAGGTGGCAACTTCCTCACTGTGTAGGAGCGATTGATGGGAAGCATGTTATTATTCAAGTATGTTTGATTTGCATTAAGATAGAATAGAGTCTAAGGTTCAGCTTATTAAGTAACGTTATTTCACGTTATTTTATAAAGAATGATCCTCAAAAATGGTTTCTAAAGAAGGCCTTGAGAGACGAAGATACAAGTCATGTCCATGATAACTAAGCATCGCTTTAAATTAAATGCAAACTGATGAAAACTAACACTTAAAAAGAATTATACATTCAGAAACGCGCGATTTTTTTTAAGACCTACTTTAGAAACTTTTTGTAGATCACCGCATCCCTATATCTTTGTTATGTAGGTACTTTATTCTAATTTTTTAGGCTCCCTCAAAATGTGGATCAACATTTTACAATTATAAAAACAGTCACAGCATAGTATTATTAGCAGTATGCGATGCCAATTACAAATTTGCTATGGTCGATATTGGAGGAGAGGGGCGTCATAGTGATGGTGGGATATATAGAAATAGTGCTATAGGTACTCTAATGTTAAATGGACAATTACATTTACCTACACCTGAACCTATTGAGGATTATGGAGATACAATAAACTACTTTATGGTTGCAGATGAAGCATTTCCACTAACAACAACTATGATGCGGCCTTATCCAGGTCGATTTCTTCCAAAAAATGAGAGGATTTTTAATTACAGGTTTGATGGGATTTGAAATTTAATGCTCATATAGGTGTATCTTTTCTTATATTTTAGATTAAGTAGAGGAAGAAGGGTGATTGAAAACGTATTTGGCATTTTGGCATCCAGATGGCGTATTTACAGAAAACCAATAATAGCTTCATTACCTACTGTTGAAGCTATAGTAAAATCCACTGTGTGCTTACATAATTGGGTAATGATTTTTGAATCAAAAACCACCGATGATAAGAAACGTTACTGCCCTTTAGCTGCAGTTGATCGAGAAGATGGAGGTGGGGCTATAATACATGGAGAATGGCATAATGATATTCAGAATATGAGTAATTTAGTACCTATCAATAGAGCCAGTAGTAATATGTATGGGAAAGAAGCTAAAACAATGAGAGAAACATTGACTTCTCATTTTTTATTTGAGGGTGCTATTCCTTTCCAATGGAATAAATAATAAAATTCTTAAAATATTTATAGTTTATTTCAAATAAATGTTTATTAACTTATCTTATTATTTAAGTAGGCACTATAGGTATGGAACCCTATGTATTTTAGGAGCCATAAGATAACCTAAGTAGCTAAGATTAAAGTAATAAAAAACTGATGTTTCCCAAAATACACAAGGTTGGATATCACTCCCTATACAAGTTAAATAATTTAACATATTTTGTCTTAAGGTTGTAAGTATTTTTTTGCTCCTTCATAAGCTGTTTGCATCAGTTTGATCTCTAGGATTGTTCTTTCACCTTGTGGCACATGATGTAATATTTCAGATATTCTCAGACATATAGGATTGACCTCTTCTTTAACTTGAAGGCTTGGTTGAAGAGATGGAGGAAGGAGGAGGAGGAGGTGGCACCACTGGTGAATTTATTTTTTCTAGGGCATTAATAATTGCCATTTCTGCAGTTTGTTTTGAGGTTGTTGCTTTTTTTAATGGATTATCCTCAGGTAATAGTGATTGGGTATTTACAATATTACCAGTTGTTCTACAATCAATAAAATTACTTCATATTTATAAAAATCACTATTTTATTCAATAACTTACGGTCTATGATTTAAGGTATCCTTTAAAAATAACATATGTTCATAGAATTCCCAAATTTTCTTTTTTTTTTGAAGCCGATCCACTCTTTTTGTATGATTCTTATTCATTTTTTACTCTCACATATGTATCTCTTAAATTTCTCCATTTATTCATGAGAAATTTGACTGAAAACTCTGGCTGTTCTGAAATAAACAATATAATAAGCAAAATAGGAACTACTGAATAAACAAATTTAAACAATTATTACCACCGAACTCTTGATATATTGTTTTTGAACGTTGAACTAATGGTAGGCGACTATCCCAAAGAGGGGGTCTGGCTTTAACGCAGTTTATTAAAAGTTCTTTAACCCTCACTTCTTGAATGTCACCTTCTGGCCCATCCTATACAAATGAATGTTTTTTACATGTTATTATATTAATAAAAACGCTATACGTATATATGTGTCATTGTTGTTTGACTACGTTTATTTACCTTATCAATTTCTTCTTCATATTCGTCGTATTCTGTATCTTCAACCAATTCAGACATATCTAATTAATTAAAACAAAAAAAAAATCACAAAATGTCTACTAAATTAACAAGTCCTGGTTCGGATAATCCCCGGAAAATTTTAAATTAGACAGCGTCACTGTCACTGGTCACTGGCCTTAGTTACTACCAAACTAAGATTTTAATCACTAGTTTAATGAAATGTCCCCAGGTTTATACCTAAAATTTATGACAATCGGATAAAATATTTCGGATGTATGAATACTTCCCAAAAATATTTATACGTCAGAACTCCTATCGTATATCGGATGTCGGACGAATGAACAGTAGCCTTTAGGCGGCTGGAATGCTGGCCTTTTCGGTGGGAACGGCATTACACCGCGCAGAGGTGTAATTTTGGTTGCGGTATTCTAGAGGCGCGCGTAAAGTCCGCTACTCACTATTCGTTACTGCGTCAATTCGTCGAAGTAATTCACGAAGTATTGCTTAGTGAGTATGACGCACTGCGCCGATGCGATTCGTTGTGCGGCGCTTCGGCAGACTTCGCCCAGATGTCGGTATTTGGACGAATTATCAAAGGGAAAATGAACGATGCGACGAAGCGACGAAGTTGAACGTGTTCGGTCTGATCCCAGTCGCGAATCATTCGTTGAAGAAAACAGTCGTGTGTGTGTTTAGTTTACTTCAAAATGGAATGGAATGACGATATTATTTTTAAATTTATACAACAAATACAATTGTATCCATGTTTATGGAATCCAGGAGACAAAAACAAAAAAAATCGGAATAAAGTGCATGATGCTTTCAAAACCATTGCTGAAGAAATGGGGAACTGAGAACATCGATGAATTAAAAAAGAAAAAAGAAAGTCTTTTTCAAACTTACCGAGGCTACAGGAGAAAGGTATTCTGAAGCCAGAAAAAAAAACAACTTATGAGATTTTTTGTTTATTTGCAGGTTGAAACAAACTAATTAACATATACAGGGTTTTCTATACAAATTTATTTTTGAGTCGCCCTGTGTATATGACATTATCATAAAAAAAGGAAACTAATTTGTTTTAAACTTTGCGTACTCACAGTTTAAGTAGATAAACTAGTATTCTTTCTGCCACGAAACTTGGCATGTTGTGGAAAAATAGTTTGCAAATTCGAGTCGAACTTTTTCTGCGTCACTTTTAGGTTTTCTAGCAATCCTTTTTAATGGCTTAAATGATGTCATTCCGTCATTATCATTTCTCCACGATCCAGCAACATAATTTTCCTCTACCTCTACGTCAAATGTCCCAGTTGGTGTGTAACTGTTTTGTGAGGTCTTGCTCCTGCGCAAAAAATTATGCAAAAGTACACAAGTGTGTACAATTACATTTGCCTTTTCTGGATTGAGCAGAATGGGTGTTCTAAAAATGCGAAATAACGATGCCATAATTCCAAAGACATTTTCAATAATTCTTCGTGCTCTGAACAGTCTGTAGTTATATATTCGTTTCGAAGAACCTTTATCATGTATTCCCGGATAAGGCACCATTATATTATTTTTTAGGGGAAAGGCATTGTCACCTACTATAACATATGGTAAAACTTTATTAGTATTTGTTATAACATCGTCGGGAGGAAAATTGATTGTGCCCATTTCCATATGCTGGGATAGCTTACAATTGTAAAATATTCCTCCGTCTGACATTCGACCGAGTGATCCAATATTAGCATATGTTATACAATAATCGGCGTCACATAATGCCAATAAATTTATGCTAAATGTCGATTTATAATTGAAATATTCACTACCACTATTTACTGGTGCTTGGAGAATCACATGCTTCCCGTCAATGGCTCCGCAACAGTGTGAAAAATGCCAACGTTCCTCAAATAATTGCGCAATTTTTTTCCATTCTACAGGAGATTGTGGAGTCTGAAATAATAAATATTATTTTTGTAAGATAATTTAGATGGTAATGAAGACCTAAACAAAGATGAGACATCACAAATAGATTTTAATGAAGATAAGGAAACTAAAGAGCTTTCTATCAATGAAGGTACCATTTTTTTTGCTTTTTAACTATATATAACTTTTTTTTTCTATTAGAAAAGAACCAGTCGCCAAAACGACCAGCAAAGCGAAGTAGTATGAAGCGACCAAGGAAGGAGCAAGATCGTGCAGATGTGGCATTCAATGAGCTTTTAGCAATCAAGGAAAAAATAGTTACAAGAAATTCCAGCTGTGTGAGTCGAGATGAGTGCACCGTATATGGCGAACTCCTTGCCATAAAGTTACGAAGGCTGGATGGACGTACACAACGCTTAGCTATGCATAAAATAGATATCATGTTTGATCTGACTTTCGATTCATCGATGTTACCGTCACCCAGGTCTTCCTCTTCCCATTCATCCCATATTATTACCACACCTCTGCCTTCACCTGGCTCTTCATGTGCACAGTATTCCCCTCAATCACAACCTGTTATTGCCATACCTCTGCCTTCTCCTGGCTCTTCATGTGAAGTTTTTATGAACAGTCGAACAGTCGCTACATAACTCTGCAGCCACCTTCTGCTGTAAATGAAGCTTCTCAGCAGCAATTATCTCTAATATTGCAATCTAGCTCACAGGATATTTTCCAAACACAAAAATTTCAGTCTACAAATCATACCAATGAGCAATCCCAATGTTTAGCGGAACCTGAAGATGAAATATCTCACTGGCCTCAGTTTTTTTTTTGTATTTGTTAATACTTTGAATTATTAATATATTTTTTTTTTCTTTAAAACTTTTTTCATTATTTTCAGAGCATCTATAATGTGCATTTAAATGTTTTTATAATAAAATAATAAATATACTCACCTTTAAATGCTCTGATAGTGCAATAACAAGTGCTTGGCATACTTCTGGTACTATCACCGATATTATTTGAGGAGAAATTTTAAAGAGGAAACTTAAGCTTTGATATGAGTCGCCAGATGCCAAATATCTCAACGTAACAGCTTGTCTTTCTTTTGCTGGTATGGATAACCTGAATTGTGTGTCCTTTTTCTGTATTTGGGGACACATTTTAATCAAGAGCAACTCAAAGTCTTCATAACTGATCCTGCAAAAGTTATGAAATTTGTCAGACGGTTCCTTAAGCATATCCACGATCTTGGTAGTACAGTTGTACCTACAAATATAAAATACATAAACCAGTTCGTACAAGTTTGCCTTTAACTTTAGTTGCAATGCGTTTAATTAATAGGTAATAAAAGATGTATACTTACCGAGATTTGCTTTTATATAAAGACTGGGTCCACCAACTTCTTTTTTTTTCTCATTTTATTTGAATTCGAAATAACTACATAACAATCTTGAGCTGCAGCAAGAAGAAGCAGGTCTTCTTCTTCAGAATCCATTTTTACTAACGACAATAAAAAAAACACAAAATGTTTGTTTTAAATAGTAGATAACCGTAGTAAACTTGACCAGTATATTTTTATTCTGACATTGAAGTTTTTTGGTCGCACTTCGCACCATGCACGAATTTCCATGCATCATCGAAGCGAAGTGAATTAACGCATAATGAGTAGGATGTAAAGCGTCGGATGTTCATAGCACGAATTAACGACGTTGATTCCAATAATCCGACGCGTGTTTTGTCCCGGATCAGAAATTTGGGCTGATCAGTAAAGGGCGTATAACCAATTGAAAAATATTGGTTATACGCACAAAATGATTAATCATGCTAAATATTTTAGAGATCCACAAACTGGTGTGTGTACGAATCACGTAGAGGGTTATTTATCACGACTGAAATAGTACTTACGACGGTTGGGGGCGATGAGCTCCAAATTTTTACCGGAATACATCAACACGTTCATATGGACGGCACAATATGGCAAAGATGCCAGCCATCACATGAAAAATCAAAACTGCAGATTGCAGAAAAATATTAACAATTAAAACATTTCTCGCGGGTATTTTCATTTTTCCAAAATATTATTTTTTTTGAGCGTTTTTGTTACAGAAAATCTATATTTAAATTATTAACACCTATTTTTCTTCTAATAATGTATATTTTTCTGAAATTTTTCTATTCACATTTAAACCTGTTAACAACCTCTTCATCATTTTTGTTGTACAAAAATAAAATACAAATATGTTTTTTGTTATTTAGTCGGACAAATTGCGATATCGACATACTAAGGCCCGGTACTTTCACCTATAGATAGATAAGCTTTAATCTTCAGATAACTATCCTACACATAAATTAACTAGAACTCGTTATCTAAAAGATGACCTGTTCGATCACTTTCATTCTGAATTACCCATTAGATAAGTATCTGGCGAGATGTACTAATAGACACTAAGTAAGTTAAATATTGCCAACTGAAATTATATCAAAGTAAGAGATACCATGATACAAGCATCATATATTAGCAAGAGAAAGAGAATTTCGAGTGTCACTTACATCAATTCACGAACCTACAATCTACTCTTTGTCATACGTCAAAGTCAAATAATTTTTATTTGTCATTTAATTAATTTTGTTTTTCGATGCAAAATTAATTTTATTCCGTGTGTATTCATTCCGTTTCTGTTATTTGGCGTTATTATTTGGACGTTGTTTACTGTTTATTAGTGTTTAAAGACGTTTTATTGGTGCTTAGTGACTTTTTATTAGTATTTAGTGACTTTTATTAGTATTTAGTGATTTATTAGTTTTTAATTTTTTTAACCGATTTTTTTTTTGTAATAAAATGTCGCAAACACCGACAGACGGAAAAAAAAGAGGGTCCGGGCACCAAACTTTTCCCTAGATGATTAATAGGGCTATTAATAGGGCTGGCTTTAAAAAAAACATGTGTTAGAGAACAAAACCACTGACTGAGATACATGGAAGTTGAAGGAGGCAACATGGATTGAAATATCTGAACTGTTCAATTCTAATGCAGGTACTGGTCTATATAATATTACCTAAATCAATTTTATTTCAAATGAACTGTTTTAGGGACAAATACTAGGTCAGTGGAAACACTGAGAACCAAGTACGACGGCCTGAAAAAAGATTTGAAAAAAAAAAGGTTAATAAGAATAAGACCGAAACATTTAAAACTGGTGGATGGAAACCGGAATACATTTCAATTGAATGTCCATAAAAGGATTTACTGGAAGTATTAAGCCTTTCGATCTCTGGCCTACCATCAGAGTTCGATTCCGACAAGGTTCTGCCTGAAACGAGTAAGTTTAATTTAATATGTATTCTTGTAAAAGTTTGATATTTACAACTGTATAGTATAACTTTTAAAGCTTTATTTTTGAATAATACATGATAGTATTTGATTAAATTTAACAAATCAGCATAATTAAATTATTTTTTAATAATAAATTGTAAATATACATATACCTATATATAGGTATTTCCAAAAGCATTTTAAGGAAGTTATTTATAAAAATGTTTTTTAGCAATCACTGGCGAGATTATATATATAAAATAATTTGATCAATCAAAACTTTATAGTGTATAATATATATTTGGTTAAAGTTTATTCTGCAATACTAACCATAACATTTACTTTTAGATTTTTCTAGACGAGACAACTGGAATCACTTCAGATGTGTCAGCGGCGAAGGTAGAGAACAAAAGTGCCTCTGTTAATACTGATTGCAATACCTCTGCTGCTGGAACATCAGGGATAAATGTAATTTTATTTCTTTATTTTTATTATTAAGATTGAATAAACATTATCTGGAAATTTTACTATTTTTCAGATTAAAAATTCTTGGAAATCTTGGTCTTCGAGAGATCTAAAAAACAAGAAAAACCCTCTATTAACCCCAAAAAAAAAAGGTAGGCACACAGAACACTGTGAAAATTGAGAGAAGAGTTATTGAAAAATCAAATCATTCATTGTAAAAATGAAGAAACGAGAGCGAAGGCTAAGCACGACAAAGAGAAAACAAGAGCACAGGCTAAACATGAAAGGGAAATAAGATTATTGGACCTAAATATAATAATTAAAGAACAAGAAATAAATAAAAAACTATAATGTTTTAATTTTTTTAATAAATAAACTTAATTTGTGTACAATTTTATTTTTACAATATTCCATTATAATTTGTATAATGCTTCCCACTTGCAACATACAATTTGAGCTTAGTGTACTCATTACAAAGATAAAAATAAAATGTATGAATATACTTTTGAATAATGAACTAAGTACTTTATTAAATTAAATATCGTATCAATTTTTTAATTATGATTATCATTTACATGACACTAGTTTAGCAAATATATCAAAAATAAAGTTAAAACAAAGTTTAGTGAAAGGTATATTCTTCGTATACCTACTAGGTTTACCTAGGTATATAAATGGAAAATAGTTTATCTTACATTTACTTAAAACAAAAAATATTTATAGAAAGTTCTCCTTCAGTTGGAAATCCATAATCAAGTTCAAATCTGTCAAATGTTGGATGCTATAAAAGAAAAATCAAAAATAATTTATAATGAGTAAAGCATGAAATAACATTAAAATTTCAATATAGAACAAAAGATTAACTGAAAATGTTAATGGGACTTCAAAAATAGTTCATGTTATTTCATTAAAAAAATTAATGATTCTTTAGTACAAAGTGTAAATCAGACATATTTAGGGCACATTTTTAAACACTTAATAAAAAGGTAATGTATAATCATGTATTGGATATTAAAATATGCTTTTCCATTCATATTTAATTTCTCCGATTCAACAAATTTTGGAAGTAGTCTAAAAATGGCCTCCGATCATCAACTCCTTTATTCATTTCTACATGAACGTTTACTTCTTGATCTTCATGAACATATTCGTTTTCTTCAAAATTCTCCTCCTTTTGGTCAATTGCAATATTGTGTAATACCGCACAAGCGATAATAATCATTTGTGCCATATTAATATTACACCTTATTCCATTTGACAGTATAGGGAACCTTCTTTTCCATATACCAAAAAGTCTTTCAATTGTATTTCTCGTTCTGATTTGTGCCTAATTGTACATACGTTCAACCTCATTTTTAGGATCCCCTAATGGAGTCAGTAAATATTTCTTTAAACTGTCTCCCTGGTCCCCTAATAAAACTCCATTTTCCATCTCACCATTGACCAATTTCATTTTCACAGATGAGTTTTCAAAAATATGGCTATCGTGTGTAGATCCTGGCCAACGACTGACTAAGTCAATTATTTTTAGATCTGCTGATCCTACAACCTGGCAATTCCGTGAAAAATATCCTTTTCGGTTTCTATATATTTCGGCATTTTCTCCACCAGGAGAAACTATTTTTACATGGGTACAATCAATTGCACCTATAACCCTGGGAAAACGAGATATGTTAAAAAAATTTCTTTCTGCTTCTTGCTGGTTCTCTTCAGTGTCTGGCAAATTAACTATTTATGGGAACATATTGCACAAAGCAGTAATTCCCTTTTTAATTATCCTCGATGCAGTGGTTTTGTGGACACCAGTAAAATCACCAATGCTTATATAAAAATCACCTGTTGCTAAGAATCTTAATGTGAGCAGCAATTTGTCCATAGGTTTGACAGCTCTATCTTGATTCCTAAAAAAATAATGTACATAGTTACAAGTCATAAACTTTTAGATTTAACATAAGTTGTTCTATACAATTAAAACTTACCTAACCTTTCTGTTCGATTTTGAAGAGCTTGTTCAAGATGGTTTAGCAAAAATGTAACT